GCTGGTGCTTGCTGGCTTGAGCTTGTTCTTTCTTGTAGTATCTTTTCTTTCCTTCGTTTCCTTGTGAGGTGTAGGTTTTCTCGTCATGTGTGGAGAGTGGTACAAATGAAATTTTCATTGAACATTTTCAAAGTTTTTCTTTGAGTTGTTGTCCGTCAAGAGTGTCTTCTAAATATTTAGGTATTTGTCCTAAGCTCAGTGTTAGTCATCCCAAATACAATTGGCTCCAACAATTATCAAAAGGATAATCTTCAGGTAGAATTACTGGATACTAGTTGTGAATTTGGCTTAAGCTCTCCATATGAGCCTGAATGTCCTGTTGAATCCTTTGAGCATAATCAATTGGAAGAGTTTCTCATGGAGCATCATCTTCAATTTTAGGCCAAATTTTTGTAGGGATGTTTGATTAATTTCTGCCATTTTCTCTGTAATGTCCTGAATTCTTGAGGATATCTTCCCATTCTATGTGAACATTGAATGTCTGGACCACATATTCCCCGAACATGAGAGATGTGTTCATAGTATCATGATTTAGTAAAATAACCCTGTCATTAGAACACTAGGATTACATGGATATTAATAGACGAAATTCTAAGATATTTGAATTTTAAATAAAAATTTCGCAATTTATCTCTCTAGTGAGAAAGTGGATAAAACGATTCAAAAAATCTTACAATTTCATCGTTTAAGCAAAGAATGAATTTTGGGTAATCCTTCCGAAGTTGTGAATTTTTTTCTGAAAGCCAAGAAATCATGGTATCGGCATTAAAACATATTGCAATTCGATATATCTCAAGAAGATATCATAGAAAACACAGGAGTTATTTTAAATTTTTTTTCTTGAATTAGTTCCCGCAGCACTACCCGCCTCGTTTAAAGTCAATTTAAAGTTTAAATTTTTTATAAAACAAAAATAAAAGATTTATCATTATTTTTAAAGAGAACATGATTTACTCTTAACAAATTGGAAAAAATAATAATATTTACTAACTAATAACGTAATAAAATAAAATAAAATAAAAATAAACGTGGCGATAAACGGGGCAGGTGACCCTAGTGCTATCTACATTATGTAATTACTTGTTATTTTGTTGAAAATTCCGAAAAAATTATAAGGTCCCTATAAATTTATTCAGTAGGACCTATCTAGTTGAATATTGATACTATGAAAAATAGTCTAGTTTTTGTATTTTGAAAACTGTACAATTGTCTCATTGTAGAAATTATTAAGTAAATATAGTATTTTATAATTTTAGATGATTAATATGTATTATTTTAATTATTAAATGATTAAAAAATTAAAATAATATTAAATTTAGGAAAACGTTTTTTTATGTCTAGGCCTCGTCTATGCTAGCTTAACCTCGTAAATTTTGAAATTTCGTCTCCACACCTAACCACACTTTACGCTTTTTATAACACAACTTGACAGTGTTTCCCCTTTACACCAAGCATGGTTATTGTGTTTGTAGGAATTTAATAATTGTAAAAAAATAACCTGAAAGCCAGTTATGCTATTTAACCTAGATGGTAAATATTGGTGCTAAGCACTATTTTTGTGATAGTGTCAATGTCACGTAGATAGGTGCTTATTATCATTGATATTAGATGACATTGTTCTTTAAAATTTAAGAACAATTTCGGGCAATATTTTCAATGTCGGAAATCTAAATCTTCCAATTATTGATGATAAGTGTATGATCAAGGTATTATCCCTCAGCGAGGTGAGATAGTTTCGGAAAGGCATTTTGAAGTGTAAGCATCAAGGAGTGTAAATTTGCTAAAAGAATATTTTGACTTGACTTGTTTGGATTGGATTGGATGCTAGCAAATCATATTCTCTTTTAGATCTCTGATCTTATTTTTATCAATGTCTAGATTCAACATATTTTATTCTCATGTCACCTCCTCATTAATGTTAATTTCAATTTATTTCTTTATTATTATTCTAAGCTTGCAATGGTGCATTCTCTTGCTCCATCTTCATAATGGTAGAACAAGGAAACAACCAACCAACTCCACCCAATCCATGTAGCACAGACTACAAAAAATTGCTCAATATGTTGAGGCTAATAACAAAAATTCCAGGAAATATTAGCCGAGGCACAAGCAATAAAAATTGTACTTCAGAAGAATGTTTCAAAAAATTCAATGAAATTCGGCACAAGGCGTATACTTGATATATCGGAAAAATGAAAAGAATAACGGATCATTCATATAGGTTGTCTTATTGAAAAATAAGTTAAAGATGGAGTTTATATCAAAAACGCTCTTGAGATTATGGACTATTTGGGACAGAGTAATGATTACTTAAACATATGCAATCATGACCTAGGCCATAGTTACAATCTAAGTGAAATGATTATCTGATATGCCGATCCCAACAACCAATTGGGGAGCTCTTCAATCAAGGTGGTGATACATATCGAGATTGACAATGTAACTTGATGTGTTGAAGAGCAGCCAACTGTTGATAATGGGCCTATAAATAGGGGCGATGGTTCCCCCGCAAAGGACGGTCTAAGTCAATTCATAATAAGGCTATGTTTGATATGCCAACTTTTCCTTGGAACTTGAAAAATCAGTTCATTTTTCTTGCTTTTGGATTGTTTGATGAGCCAAATTTTCCACCTAAAATGTTTTCTTGGCTGCTGGATCACGCGCCCAAATTCCATGAAAATAGGGAATTCATTTTCCACCTTTTTGGTGGGAATCCCATGGGCTGCTATCCATTTTATTTTGACAATGAAAACAAATGTCATAATCAAGGGTAAAAAAAAATTCACTTTAATTGACAATTTCCATGTAAAACAAAGTCAAAAGAACACTAAACTTAGAAAAAAAAATTATTTTTTAGGAAGCAATTTTATTTTTTAGTGTTTTTTCACGAGCCCACGAGCCGCTAGTGAAAAAACTGTTTGGCTCGCCTAGCCAGCCTGCTGCTCCGCTCGTGCTCGGGCTCGTCTTTTGACGAGCTCGAGCTCAAGCAGCTCGTGGCTCGGTGGCAACGAGCCGAGCCCACGAGTCGGCTCGGTTCGATTGCCATCACTCGACCCACTGTTTAACTCGTCTAAACATATTTTATTTATTTATTTACTGAAATGAAAAAAAAAATTCAAAGAACATTAATTTCAGCTTGAATTCAGGCAACCCAACCTTTAGGCTGCCTCAATTCCACATGATGACACCATGGCCGAAAAAGGAAGCCATATGTCCATAGTTGAGCTAGGCGAGCCAGCGAGCGACTCGCATCAAAATTCCATCTCGCCCCATTTTCCACCCCTAATATACCCTCACAAAAAAAAAGTAAAAATAAAAAAAATAACCCTACTAATTGTTATAAGATGTTGATTGTCGATAATGTTTGTGGTCTCCAATTGTGAGATGCGAACTGATTGGATTAGGGAATATAAAAGCACCTCCTCTCCTCTCTCTCTCTCTCTCTTTTTTCCAACCGCACATTTCATCAACTTTCATCAAAATCTAATTTTTAGCTATACACAAAACAAATATATAAAAGAAAACTAAAAAGTTATTCAATTGGGACAATGAACAATATGTGCTAAAAAAAAAAATATTTAAAGATGAAGTTAATATCAAAAACGCTCTTGAGATTATGGACTATTATAAAGATACTCTTCTCTTGAAAACAATTTCAAATATATAATAGTTCACTTCAAATGAACTTTGAAATTTTATAGACGAGTTGTAATTGTTTGCATACCTTAACAGATTTCCATATATATATATACA